GCTCAGGGAAGTCTCCTCGTCGTCTGCGGACAAGAAGAAAACGTCACTGTAACGGCGTTTTAGTCCGCTCTGCCGGACGCGAACCATCCTAAGTGAGTTCTGCCTTAGGCTATTAGATGCTGGAGTTGGGGAGGGTTTCCCACTGGCCAAAGCTCTGCTAAAAATTCTGCAAGAATGAGGGTTCCTTATGTTAAGGATAATTTGCAGTCACGATCTATCTGAGAATTCGGTTTCAAGGGATATTATTATTATTATTATTATTATTATTATTATTATTATTATTATTATTATTATTATTAAAAATACCAGAAGCCTACCCCTTTCTGGGCACATAGCAGGTGCTTCCCAGCACTTGCTACCCGGAAGACCTCAGAGACTGGGGACCCGGATTCCTTGCTGACCCCAGAAAGGGCTAATTACACGTGTTCAGGGTGTTTCCTATGGCTGGGCTCCCCCCAGCATGGTGGACTCAGGTGACTAAAGAGAAGGACATGTGAATGATGGGAGGAGCCACAGTCATTCAATAGCTCAGACTGGAAACCTGGAGATGATTGCAGTGGAAAAAGGAACCAGGTCTCCACACCAAGCAACCACTCATGGAGCAGCAACCGTGGTTTACCCCTCCCTCCCCCCATGTGCTGTATTGGATCCTTGCCAGGTGTGAATTCCCATTTGAAGCCCTAGCACTCTTCACTTACTGAAGACAAACAACCTGTCTGGTGTGTTGGGAGTCTGTCCTCATTGCTACACTGAAGGGACAGTCAGTCTGATTTTCAGAATGTAGAAAAGGCGGGATTTGAAACGATGAAACAGTCCACTGTTTTTCTTACAATCTGCATTGCCTATTGGGCATAATCAAGTGCAACTATTTTTTTAAAAATTGAAGTACAGTTGATTTACAATGTTGTGTTAGTTTCAGGTGTACAGCCAAGTGATTCTGTTATCCATATCTATGTGTGTGTATATATGTATTTTTCATATTCTTTTCCATTATAAGTTATTACAAGCTATAATAGCTGTATTATACAGTAGGTCCTTGTTGTTTATCTATAGTGGTGTGTATCTGTTAGTCTCAAAGTCCTGATTGATCCCTCTCCCCCTTTCCCCTTTGATAGCCATAACTTTGTTTTCTACCTCTGTGAGTCTATTTGTTTTATAAATAAGTTCATTGGTATCATTTTTTAATAGATTCCACATATAAGTGATATCACATATTTGTCTTTCTTTGTCTGACTTACTTCACTTGGTATGATAATCTCTAGGTCCATCCATGTTGCTGCAAATGGCATTATTTCATTCTTTTTTATGGCTGAGTAGTATTCCATTGTATAAATATACCACAGCTTCCTTGTCCAGTCATCTGTTGATAGACATTTAGGTTGCTTCCATATCTTGGCTATTGTAAATAGTGCTGCTATGAACACTGGGGTGCATGTATCTTTTTGAATTAGAGTTTTCATTTTTTCCAGATATATGCCCAGGAGTAGGATGGCTGGATCATATGGCAACCCTGTTTTTAGTTTTTTAGGGAACCTCCGTATTGTTCTCCATAGTGACTATACCAATTTACATTCCCACCAACAGCGTAGGAAGGAGGGTTCCCTTTTCTCCACACTCTCTCCAGCATTTATCATTTGTAGACTTTTTGATGGTGACCATTCTGACTGGTGTGAGGTGACACTTCATGAAAAGTGCAACTTTCGTTTGCTGAGTGGGCGGTGATAAACTCCAGACCCTGAGTTCTCAAAAGCTTTATTAACTTTAACAGCAGCTCATAAATGTGGCCCAGGAGGACTGAACAATTCTCAGTGTGCTCTACACTTTGGCTTGAAAAACTGAGCATGGGGTGATTCTGGAGCTTTTTGTCCAATGTATAATTTTCATTTTCCCCTGTGATATGGTAAAAACCCACTGTGTGATCATAGTTCTTCAATAATATGACATGTGTCACGCTCATTCATTCACTCGTGTATGCAATGATTCACCATCCATTGAGCACTTCCCGTGTGGGTGCTGGGAGTAAAATGAGAAATTACGTATGGCTCCATACTTTCCATGGCCTCATCGTCAATTCCTGCTCCACTGTCTAACCTGCTACCTTTGGGTCACCAGAATAAAGAGAAGCCTCTCAATCAAGGGGACAGAAACCTGGCTTCCAGAGCAGATCCCTGGCTTCTAGGCTTCAAATCAGGATGAAAGATAAGAGAATCACAAAACCTACGACATACCTGGAAGGAACCGTGGTTATTGTATTTTTGAGAAAAGAATCACGCTGCGACACTAGGCTAGGACCAGACACGAAGTTCATGCGGAAAATACCTGGGTGGATGGAGGAAGTGATCTCAAACCGGAACTGCAGCTGTCCACTCACATGATCTGTTGGAAGCCTGCGGCCAAGGGTGTAGCTGACCACCCTGTCCCTAGAAGGAAATGAGTGTCGTCACGGATCTGGTCAATACCGCTCCTCCTAAAGACCATGCGATGTGCTTTCCCCACTTGCGGGCGAGGCAGGCAAACCCAGGGAGGCCCTGCTCTCAGGGGTGATGAACTGCTCAGGTACAGCTGAGATGGTCCTAAGGGAAAGATGAGCTAGTACATCTGCTCACCGGTAATTGAAAAAAAACCTCAAGAAAATCCTTACTGAATACTCCAAAGCAGGAATCGGCCAACTACATACAGCCCGTGGTCCAAACCTGTTTTGGGGAGACCATGAGCTGCTTCCATTTTGAAACTATCGGAAAAAAAACAAAAACAAAAACAAAAGAAGAGTAGTATTTTGGGACACGTGAAAATGATACGAAATGTAAATTTCAACTTCCGGACATAAAAGTTTTATTGGAATGCAGCTATGGTTATCAGTTTACGTCTTGGCTGGGCTGCTTTCGTGTTACAATGGCAGAGCTGAGCAGCTGAGACAGATATGGCTCTCACAGCCTGAAATATTTATTAGCCTGGCCCTTACAGAAAGTTTGCCAACCTGTGTTCTAAAGAAAAAAAAAAGGAAAAAAAAAAAAGACATCAGTATCCTTTGCTTGCTTTTCCTGGTCATCCTGACATTTTCCACATATGCCCTTAATAATGGACAGCACCAGCAGCAGATATGTGTCTTATGATGTATGTATATTCTATGTGGAATATCTATGGAAGGATGCTGTCCTGGTTACCAGAGACCCTGTGACGGGCTTCCAAAAGACAACTGCTGCAGAATGCAGCGAAGCACGACGTTGCGGGCTGGGTCCATTGGCCTGTGACTTCCAATCACACCAACTCCAGGGTCCCACAGAGAGACTCCACTCTGGGCTCTGGCACCATCCCCTCTGCCGACTCGAGGCAATTTTAGTTACCAAGAAGCCAATGATCCAGAGGGAAATCAACCTGAACCTTTGCTATTATAATTTCATCAACAATGCAGCTTCAGTAGAGTACCTGGTCCCCCGTATCGGCCTGAATAGGAAAGGTGACTACCTTGGGATGTTCAGAAATGAACAAATCCACTCTATCCAATAATAACAAAGACATATTGCAAAACCAGCTGTTACTTACATGAGTCTGTAATCATTCCATTTATTCATTTGTGACATTCAAATAAAAAGATAAATCACCAGCTGCTAGTGTTTTAATGTTTCTTTCTAGAAAGCACCAGCCTCATGAAACATCTCACCCAGTGATCCACTGGCTTAGGAGTTCTCTTTGGTCAGCTCTAGTTTAGTGTTTGGAGTTTCTAGGAAGCCTAGCAAATAAAACATTATATGCCAGGAAAACAGAACGGGCCACAGTATTTTATTTATTTAGAAAGGGCTTTGGTCAATATTATGAGGTAGGTCTGTTAGGACTGGAGGAAAGAGATCCTGAACCCAAAACCGAAGTGGAATCAGAGGAGGCCTAAAGATAGTCAAACAGTGAGACAAAAATTAAATTGATCACGCTGTGTGCTTGCCTTCCACGTATTTTTTTCCTTTGCTTTTCACCCACTGTATCGACAAATATTTTGAGGAGACCGTGCCACAGAAAAAGTGTTGCAGTTGATGCAAACCCTACAAGGCATTCCCTGCCTCTAAGTAGCTTACATCCATCTCGGGGGATGAGGCAGGACCACCTGCATCAATGCTTCAAGGCAGCGGTGATATTTCCAATGTGAAGCCGAGGTGGGCAGGGGTAGAGGGAGGCAGAGAGCCAGGCAGATAGCTGAGGGCTGGGATGTTCCAGGCAAAGGAATCAAGGACGCCCTCTGAACTTATTTTAAAAGTCATACAGTTTGCTATTTGAAAAATGAACAGTTTGGAATCATTTAGTCCCTGAGTGCCATGGACTGCTTTACATTCTTTATGTACTTTTTTGTTTCTTTCTTTGCTTAATCCTCAAGGCCACGAATGGAAGATGCGAACACCGGGTTTGAACGCAGCTGGAGCTTCAGAAATGTCAACACCCTTTGGCTGGAGAGTTTAACGTGTGTCTGTGTGCTCACAGCTGCACACATGCTGTAAGGGTCTGATTAAACAGCCTTATGATAACTAATAGTGATTCTAAAGTCCTTTTGAAAATCCAAAGAGCTTTGAATTAGGACCCCTGGAAATTCTGCATTCTTTTTCTCATTCCTTTGATATCATTCTAAGTATTGCATTGAAACGTATTTATGACCAGACAGCTACACTTCATGTTTTCAAATATAGTTGTTGTTACCTACAGAGATATCTATTACGTACAAGGATTTTATATGGCCAGAGTTCATTTTAATGAGAACTCTGAGCGGATGTGCACATAGAAGTTACAAAACACAGAAACACGTTCTCACATACAGTTGAACTACGGGAGCAACAGAATTGCTGCCTTTGCGTGAGAATCCATGCTTTTGAAATCTCATACATATCATCTAGTATTTTCTACAAATTACTAGTGTTTGTGAAGGCAGTCTAAGCTAGCAACCCAGTATTTCATCTTGTTAGGGAAATGTCACAAATGATTAAATCGTATATACAAGATAGGAATATGAATGAAATGATGTCCCTCATGGTAAAACAGATGTTAATTTCTACCTGTTCAGAAAAAAATGCTGCATAAAGGGCTTCTCTCACCACTGTGTCTCAGAGATTTTTACTCCCTTGAATAAGGAACCAGTGGTACACAAATAAGGGGAAAGAGAAAGGCCTGTTTAGTTAATGATTATAGCTCAAGCAAAATAATTAATGGGAGAAGCCAAGGAAATACAATGGCACTGTTTTGTTTGCATCTCTATGAGGCCATTTTGTTGCTCCCCTTGGGCCTGGCCTGCTGGCTGAAGCCCGGTGACACTGAGCTCCCGGTCAAGATTTACCCGATGGCATGTCTTTCCAGGAGTCTCTGAACGGGCATCGACAGCTTTCCCAGGAAGCGCTTGATGATGGGGCGGCTCTTGGCAAACTTGTCCTTCACCTCGATTTCCAGCACGTCAGTGGGCAAGGACACAAAGTTGAATTGCTGTAGTGGAAAAAACACGTCCCATCAATTTACTGCGAGGTGTGAAGGCTGGCCAGTCCCCAGTCCATCTGCTTTGGGTGATGTCATTGTAAAAAACCCAAGCGGCCATATATTTACATCTATACTTTTTATCTGCATTTATCTATCTATCTATCTATCTATCTATCCATGTGTCTATCTGTATATCATCTATCTCAATTTCAGAAATGCTGTGAACCCTGTTTATTCAATAAATGAATAATGACAACCATGAAGTGCTTCTTCAGTGCTTAAAAATAAGGTTATTCTCTGAGATTCAAATAATAAAATCAACTCTAAAGAGAAAGACTGCTACTCAGGTTTCATCATACTTGACTAAAGGTATCAACATACCTAAAGAAAGAACAAGCAAAACTCATCTATTATTAAGAAAATGCACATTAAATCAACAATGCAATGTCTTTTTATTTTTCTTCATGATTATAATGGCAGAGATTTTTAAAAGCTGGATGATATCCTGCATTCCGGAAAGTGGGGAGAGACAAGAATTCTCACACTCTATTGATGGAGATGAAAATTGATTTGACCCTTGGGAAGGGAATTGGCAATATTTATTGGTATTTAAATGATAAATTTCCTTCAGCCCAGAATTCTGCTTCTAGGAATTTTCTCTCTGAAACTTAACTTGTACAAGAGTGCAAAATACATACATTTTATAAGGATGTTCATTGGAGCATTATTAACAATAGCTAAAGGCTGGAAAGATTTAAAAATGCCTACCAATAGGAAACCAGCTAAACAAAGGATGGCAAATCTTTGAAACGGAGAACTCTATTGTCATTAAAAAGATCTAGGTAAATAAATATGTTCTAACATGAAACGATACTTGACCAACTAAATGAAAAAAGCCAGATATAGAAAAATGTGAAGAGTGGGATTCCATCTGTACTTTGAATTGCAGAGAAAACGCCTGGAGGGTACACTCCAAACTGAACGCGAGGAAGTGGGCTGGTAGAGGAGGGGAGAGAGCAAATCTTTTTCATTTGATTCTGAACTGTTCGTTTCTTAAAGGGCACACTGTGTGGCTTTAAAAATAAAAGCGACGACAGTTAAAGGAAGACTGTGATCACCAGAAGTTGGCTTGGTCAACAACAAGTGTAGAAAAGGAGAGACAGGTAAACGTTTTCATTGCCCAGTTCAGATTACCTGGAAGGACTCTTGATTAATACTGAACGTTACAGTACCCTTAATCAAGGGTTGTAAAACAGCTGACATACATAATTATTTTCTTTTATTCTGATGAATTCCTAACGGCAATCTTTTCACTTTAGTTGATTTCTAATTTCAGAGATTAAATATGTTGGGCATGCTAATGTTAATATTGCCTCTGTATCAGTCAGGATGGGCTAGGAAATGCTTCAGTAACAACCAAGTCCCCAGTCCCAGTGACTTCATGGTAGCAAGGTTCTGCTTCTTGCTCACACTGCCATCGTGGGCTGGCAGAGGGCTCTGCTCCTTAGTCACTCAGGGAGCCAGGCTGATGGAGCGGGCACCCTCTCGAACACTGCCAGTCACAGTGACAGAGGGACAGAGAATTCTGGAGGGTCTTCCTCCGGTATATAAATGTTCGCTTTGAAACCCGAGTCTTCATCACAACTAGACACACACCCCAGCCATCCACAGGGACTAGGAAATGTGCTCCTACCATGTGTCTGGGAGATAAGAGAACAGAAATATTTGGCAAACAGCAATAATGACGTCCACACCCTCTGTGTGTTGCTTCTAATTTCCATTACAAATTGGTTTCAGTTAACATCTATATAATTGTTAAGAAGCAATCATTCCTGGTACTGACAAAGCTGAATTTCCAAACCCAGGAACAGGCTTGATCCTCATCTAAGAAGGTCTGTTTGAGTGAGCATCCAGGCCCCCTAACTGTCTCAGGTCCCCAGACTCTGGTATCTTGTGCTCAGTGATTCCACGCTGAATGTACCATCATGGACCTCCTCACCTAAACGCTCACCCACAGGCGAGGTGCACTGCAGTACGTGTACATGACAGAACAGTTTATAACATTCTAAATGACAATAATTTATGGTTAGATGTAAATATCACAATAGCAACAATAATACATGGAAGGAAATTAAGATAGAAGACGCTTGTTTTCCAATGCCAAGTGCCAAGAGCCGGAAACGCAATTTATAATCACAGTGATGTAAATGAAACGAATAGAAAAAAGACTAGAAAGACTTACAACCAATTTTAATAGCAGTCATTTCACCAACTAAGAATATATTTCCCCCTATTTCTTTCTCTGATGAGCATGTAGTGTTTTTTTTATTTTAATTGCAGTCTAGTCAGTTTA